GTGGTGGGAAGGAAGAAGAGACACAGGAAGCTTATATCGTACTATCACAAAGGAGGGGTGGAGGGCCTGGAGGCCACAAGGAAGATAAACAATAGGCTACCAGGGGTGAGTCAGAAGGAGAGATTCAAAGTTCTGGATGAGAGAGGTGGAATTATCCAATCAATTGATGTGCTAAGCTCTGGAGACCCAAAGACAAAAGTGAACAGTTCCTGACATCAGGAACTTACATTGTAAAGAAGGAGACAACACATAGGCATAGAATATAATGGGGTTGGACTGACCTGTGTGGCCCAGTCCTTGGAGAATAAACAGACATTCCCTGCCTGGTTTCAATCTACATGATAATATGGAAGCTTGAGGGTGAGCCTAATTCCAGGCATGAAGACTTAGGGGTTTGTACTATGTGATGATGATGAAGATGATGATGATGAAGAAGAAGATGATGATGATGATGACATTTCTATGATACTTTAAGGTTTGAAAGCATTTTACATATACTAACTTATTTGATCTTCACAAAGACTTTGGCAAGTAGGTGCTTTATCATCTCCATTTCACAGATGAGGAAACTGAGGCTGAGAAGTTAAGTGATTTGCTTTGGGTCACCCAGCTAAAGAGTGCTTGAAGTAGGATTTGGACTCAGTTCTTCTAAGTCCTGCACTCTAAGAATAGTCTAATTATTGGTAGAAGCTGGTAGAACTAACTGATGCCTCAGGGTTGCTGAGCTGGTTCAGTGGGTATGCAAAAAGGGTGACCCACCTCTTCTTCAGTCTCTTTCCTTTGTGGCTTCAGGTGAGGGAAGACTCCTTAAAATTTCCTCCCTGAAAATCAGGAGTAGGGGTGGGGGTGGAGAAGGTATCTGCCCTGTCTTCCACCTGACCACAGTGGTATGAGCACATGGCTGTCATTGTCTTTGTGTTTCTTCTTTCCTGATCTTAGGTGGGTGGATATTCCATGACTGAAGTGTCCAAGCAACCCTGTTAATGCAAGTCTTCCAAAGGTCCTATTAGAGTTAAAAGCTGAATGGCAACAGTAATTGTAGGCTCTGCTGGAGGGGCAATGGATAAATGCAGATGAGTCTACAATAAGAGTGGAGAAACATATTGAGGGCAAATAGACATGGAGCCAACCACAGAAAAGTAACTTCAGTACAGGAGACTCTTCATGGCTGAGAGAAATGCTGTGCTCTAGAAAGCCAGTGACTTCGGAGCCCAGCAGAGAGCTTAATAGAACTTCACAATGATGCTACAAAGGGAGAAAAGTACTTCCATGGAAGGAATTTTGAATTACCCCTTTGTATTCTCTATACAGGTGCCTCACTACCATCATACATCAGGTTTTGGCTCATTCTGCTCATGGGTATTGTATGTATTTGTGGAAGAATCTGCCCCAAGTTTTGGGGAAAATGTTTTTGTACCAACAATTCTTACTATACTTTCTTAATAAATATCTTTCTGAAAGCTAATGCAGTCAACTATTGATTGTCAATGAGGAACACATCAGTGGGGGCTTACAAATTAGAGTGGTAAAATACATATTCCCTCAGAATTATTCCTATAACCCTAAGAGTAAGTATCAAATAACATTCTGTGTACCCCAAATCTCTAGTGCAAGTACAGATTAGTGCAAGTACAATGAACATCTACAAGATGTATAAAAAAATGAAATAATAACTTGGGTAATTGTCATATCAAGGGCATGATCATCTTTGTGTGTGGCTGATGTAGAGAGAAGATGGAAATCAAGGTTGTTTAGGAAGCTGATGAGTTTGGAGAAAAGAGTGTTTAAGGGGACTTCAATGGGCATATTAATTTTTCAGATTGGAGGGCTGGGGTAGGGATGGAGAGGAAATCCATGAGAAAGGAGGGAGAATGAGCTTGTCATGGCAAGAACTAGAAAGCGTCATGGCGAGAACCACAGTTCACAACTTGGATCCATGTCAGGAGTTTTCTTTGATCGCTACAGGGGAACTCAGAAAGAAGAGTCCCCCCAAGCCAAGCATACAGGGAACTTTAACACTCCTAGACAAACAACTTGCTTTTGTCTCCAGTTAAGCTTGCAAATGAAGCAGGGCAATTTGTTTTGCTCTGTGGTTGTGATGGGGGCAGGGCCCCAAGCCAAAATCTTCGCCCCTTGACCCAAAGGGAATCTGACTCCCATTTGTCTACAGGCCCCAGCCCCTCATCTCCCTTACCTTTTCATCTTATTCAGATGTGCCTTTGCCCCTTGACCTAAAAGAATCTGGCTCTCTTTTGTCTATGGGCCCCAGAAAGGACTTACTCTGGTCTCAAATGGTTCCTTATCAACTCCCCTTATCTCCCTCTGAAAGCCCTAGCTCCAACCTTTGATCTTGTGCAGATGCCTTTCAAACTTCTGCCTTCCTGTTCCCTCCATTAGCTATTCCCATTCAATCTCTCAGACCTTCCAATTGAAATTCTCACCTAGACCCTTTTCCCAGCCCCCTTCTCTGGCCACCCGAAGTTACTTCAGTGTATAAAAATTCCACCCTGGCCCCCATTCAGGTGCAGAGAATCTCAAGCCCAAAAGGCTAAGACTTTCTCATGCCCGCTCATCCTTATGGGCATTACCTGGCCTATGCAATTTACCACTAATAAACTTTTCCTCTGGCTGGAAGAAGATTTGAGTTGAATTCATTCAGGCAGGGCCTGGTACCGTGATCTTGGGGTGTCCCCCAGGAGCACCCCAAAATTCCTAGACCTCTTCAGTTGGCCTTGCAAGCAAAGTGAGGTGACTGTTGACCTTGCAAGTGTAGCAGAGTAAACCTTTAAAAAAAAAACAAAACAACTTTTTTTAGCACGGCATGAGGCCAAATTCTGAGAAATGTATGTGGCTTCTTATTTTTGCTGAATTGAAGGATAGTTTTAAGATAGCATCACTAATGGACACTCTATGGGTGTCCATAATCTAAAGGTTGGTTTATGATGGCAACAAGGAGATGGAAGGCAACATGGTGTAGGAAATAGAGTGTTGGACTTGAATCAAGAAGACCTGGGTTCAAATCCTACCTCAGACATTTATTTTCTGTGTGAACCTCTATAAATCTCTTAATCTCTCTGGGCTTCGTTCCCTCATTTGCAAAATGAGGGAGTTATGCTAGATGACTTATAAGGATCCTTTCAGTTCTAAACCTGGGCTCCTATGGACTGGAGATAAACATGGATAGATGGGCAAAGGGACAGTCTAGACATGAGTGATGTGCAAGACAGGACTAATTTTATTCTTTTCCCAGAACTTCAGGAAGCATATAGGAAGGAGCACCTAGTTAGAGAGAGTAGCCAGGGATAAATCATCTTTTAGGATTTCCAGTATCCCAAGAAGATAAAAACAATTTTAAGGGAAGAGATTTAGGATAATGGAAGAGTTTGTTAGCAATGGACCGAGGGGCTATGGGATATAATAGAGCATGAAATGGCATGGAACATGGAAGGGAAAGGGACAAGAGAATGAGGAGAGATAAGAGACAGATGACAGGTAGACAGAAAGAGGGAAAGAGGGAGGGAGTGAGACAGAGACAGAGAAGAAGAGGAGAGAGAGAAGAGAGAAGAGAACAGGAGAGAGAGAGAGAGAGAAGAGAGAGAGAGAGAGAGAGAGAGAGAGAGAGAAGAGAGAAAAGAGAGAGGAGAGAAGATTGAGAGAAGAGAGAGATGATTTTCACTTCAGCAAACGTTGACTCTAAAATATGTTAATAAAGAGAGTGGGAAGTGGTCATTGTCTTCCACTGAATGAGAAATGACCAGTCTTTAGGATCAGTCATTGTCTAGGAGCCTGCAATCATTGAGCATGAAGTCAGTGCAGGCCCTCACTGCCTCTGACTTTCAGAAGGCTAGGACCCTTGTGGCAGAGAAAGAATAAAGTGGTGACTAGGTCCCTGGGAACCAGGCTGAGCTCATGTTCTACATCCATTTTGGAATCCTATCCCAAGATGACAGGGGATGAGACAAGCACTGGAAGTCCCTTTTGCATGGTTTAAGCACTCCGCTTCCAATCTCTGAGCCCCAAAGACCTCCTCACCCCCGACCTTGGATGCTTGGGATCTGGGATGGCTTGAACTCAAGCCGGTACTGTTGCCCTGTATGTGTATAAGCTAAGATGGCTAAGACGAACCCAAGACCACAGATGACATCATGTCATAGGACGCTTGGACATTTAAGCCTTGCAGGACACCCACAAACAGACACAGCAAAGATAGGTGTATCCAATCTCCCATGTCTACTGCAAAAAATGTAGGAGACATCTTGAAAGAGCTTAACAAGCTCCCCCAGACACATATTCAGTTGACTTCCATTAGAAGGTGGGCGCAGTGCAGGATAGTGAGAAATACATTGGGAAATAGGAGTCAGTTGAATGCAAGCCACCGGGGCTAACATTAGCTTCCTCAGGACAGGGGTTGGGGTTTCTTGGCGTTGTTTGTTTCGCTGCCACACCCCTACCCCAACCCCTCTTCCCAGGCATGCCAGCCTCTTTGCTGCTCCCCCAGCACTTGACATTCATCTCATAACTCTAGTTCTTTAGCCTGTGATTCCAACCTTCTCCCCTCAGCTTCTTAGGATTCCCTGCTCCCTTCAAGGCTCAGATCAAGCACCCCTCCTTCCACAAGGTCTTTTCTTATCTCCCCTATGTCCTCCCATGACATTCACTTAATACATATTTTCTGTTGGCTGATATGTGTTTAGATTACTTTCCTCAGTCCCTGGGGCCTTCTCCCTCTGTAATATCTCTCTGTCTGCCAGCCCCCTGCTTCCACTGATGAGTTCTTTTCAAGGCTTCCATTTTGGGGATAGACCCAGGACAGACATACTTCATTCTTGATTCTAAGGCCTTTGCCCACATGCTCCCTCCACCTTCCCTTTCATGTGTTATCTTCCCCCATTAGAATATAAGCTCCCTGAGGGCAAGTCTTTCTTTTTACTTGTATTGGTGTTCCCAATGCTTAGATTGGAACATAGTAAGCTCTTAATAAACGCTTGTCATCTACTCACCTTACCGTAGAATGTAAGCTCCTCGAGGGCAGGGATGATTTTCATTTTTGTCTGTATCACCGATGCCTGGCTCATCGCACGACTGATCAAATGTTCATTGGACTGAACTTCGTTCAGGGTGAAGAAACGAAAATGGCCAAAGGCTTATGGTCTATTCAGAAGAGTCACCTCCACCCCTACCCTACCCCCCACTCCTATCTGTCCTGAGTACCTCAAGAGGAAGGCCAGAACTTATCAAATGTTGCAAGTGCCAAACTACATCATGGAAAGAAAAGAAAAAAAGGGGAAAAAATGGATTTTGTCTTATCCACCAGGAAACAGCTGATTGCTAACATGGGAGTCATCTCAGAATCAGTGCACAAGCAAATTATCAACAGGCTAGATAGAGCCAAGGTCAAAGTAGATACCAAGTTAGAAGGAAAGATAAATAGAAGAAACTGCATGCAATCACAAGGACTTGACTATAGCCTCTTTGCACAATGGAACGAGCAAATGAGTGAATGAGTGAATGAATGAAAGAAAAAGTATTACTTGAACACGTACTTCGTGCCAAGCACTGTGCTCAGCATTGGGCTTGTGATCTGGTTCCTAAACTGGTCTTGTGTTTCCTCTTTCTGCCCAGGTGGTGTGTAGACTTCGCTCTTCACCCAAATGCTCTCCACCATCCTTCCTCATTCTGGCTTCTGTGCTTCCTCCTGAAAGTACACGTTCTTATTATACAGCGCCTTCCCCTTGATCTATCCTGTTTGTACCGTCTGTACCTTTCAGAACCTCTATTCCTATCATGAATGCCATCCCCCCAAATTTCAGGTGTACCTCTGGAGTTGGTTCTCCCATCTGCCTGAATACCTGAGCAATAGCTGATTACAAGGTTTGGGACCTCTGGGGCAGGGGAAGAGCACCCATTCTACCTGTAAGATCAGATTTGCCCCTTTGCATCAGGATCTCGAGGGTAACTTGCTTATTACCTGTACTTTGTGCATTTTTGTACAGACGTCTGAGGTCATGGATTTTCCTGTTCCTTCCTTTCTTGGATTTTGTCTTCTAGGAATTCTGGCCCCCTCTAGGTCTTGGGGGATGGGATGAGAATGGGCCATATGGCCTCTGAGGTTCCTTAGATGATAATGATGATGGCTAGCACTTATATAGCATTGAAAGGTTTGCAAAGCACTTTTATATATGTTAGATCATTTAATCCTCATAATGACCCCATGAGTGTCCAAGTGCTATGAATATCCCTACTTTGTTATTGTTGTTGTTGGGTCATTTCAGTCGTGTCTGACTCTCTGTGACCCCTTTTGGGGTTTTCTTGGCAAAGATAATGAAGTGGTTTGCCATTTCCTTCTCCAGATCATTTTACAGATGAGGAAACCAAGGCAAACAGGGTTATATGATTTGCTTAGGGTCACACAGCTAGTAAGTGTCTGAGGCCAGATCTGAACCTGGGTCTTCCTGACTCCAGGCCTGGCATTCTATCCACTGCCCCACTTAGCTGTATTATTCCTATTTTACAGGTGAGTAAACTGAGGATCATAGGTGCATGATGTGACACTAGTCACTGTTTCATTGGTTTTCTTGCCTCTATTATTATCCACAAGAAACTTAATTTGCTCAGTGAGACATGAACAGAACTCTGAAGATTTTTTTTTAAAGTTTAACATTTGAAAATGATAAAACTCTGAGTATTTCCAGGTGCAAACATTCTTAGTCATTGATAAATATCAGAACTTTGGAGATGAAAGCATTTCCTCCTAGTAGAGTCCAGTGACTCCAAGAATAGCAAGAAAGAGGGAAATGTTCCCTGTGGACAAAAGCAGAGGCCTTTAAGCCAACAGACAAAAACTTCCAATGTGGTAGAAACATCTTTCTTCTGATTTACCAATTACCCTTTGAATGCAGATGAAACATGGGTTCCAGAGGACAAGGAGAACGGGAATAAATCCTTTTCTTTCTTATGCCTCTAATAGAATGTCTCTCTTGCTTGGACCCCACTGTTTCCTTTGCTGTCCAGAATTCTGCCCCAAGAGGTGAGGCCTGGACTTCGTCAGTGACTGGCCAGCACACCATGGAGATCTGCTGGAAGAGTGTGTCCTCTCGTTTTAAGGGTAAACAAATGGCATTGTTGCCAGGAAATGGCCTCCATGAAAAGAAGCTTAGGGAACCTGGAAAAGCTGTTTGAGCAGGCAATCTTTTCAGGCATAATCTCCAAGTCCATTAGCCTCATTAGCTAGAGTTAATGGCATGAAACATTAAGCCTTTCAAAAGACTCATAAAATGTGAAATAGGGTCAATCCATCTCTGAGTGTGGAATCATTAAATCTCTCTTCTTTTCTATTATGTCCAGGGCTTTGGCTACAGTCCTCCCCAAAATCCCATCTCCTCCCCCTCTACAAATACCCCTTGTTTCACCCCTACTGTTGGCTCAGTATAAATCTCTTGTAAGACAGAAAAGAAGTTGAAAAAAGAGACAACCTTTTTTTCTTGTCTTAAATATTAATACTTAGATTCCTTCAACTGTCCCATCCTATGGAACGCATTCTGTTTCCCCTCCCCCGCACCCCCCCCCCACACCCCATCCCTGCTCCAAGCCTCCTTATTTCTGCTGAAGGAGGGCAGCACCCAGGCTTGCAGCCTTAAATAGTCTCACTTTTATACTGGTAACTCGGGAGCCTAGAGCAGAGTCCGGTACATGATAAGAACTTAGAAAATGTCTAATTGATTAATTGATCATTAACTCCTCCTGCTCCCTCAATCTCCATATCCATTCCATTGCAAGCCTGGTTGATCTGACTTAGACAACACCTTTCCCATCCATCCTCTTGTGTTTAATCACACAGCCCCAGTCCTAGTTCAGGGCCTCAATATCTCTCACCTTAACCATTGTGATTGATATCCTTGTCTCCAATTTCTCCCCTCTCTGATCTTTCATCCACATTTCCTCCATATCCACATAGCTACCAAATTGATATTCTTAAAACAGAGATTAATCATGTCACTCTCCACAATGAAAAATCTTTGCTAACTTCTCCTGTGATTTCTAGAATAAAATATAAAAATCCTCAGCCTAACATGTAAATTCCCACACAATCCAGCTCCCCCTTATCTTCCCTTTCCTGTTGTACATTACTCCCCTCCACGCACACTGTGACCAATGCAGACTAACTGTTTTTTACAAATAATACTTTGTCTCCTATCTCCATCCCTTTGCAATCTGTCAACCCCACCCTAGAAAGCTCTCCTGCCTCTTCTTTGGGTTCTAGAGTCCAGGGTCTCCTCCTTCACCACTAAGCTCCAGGGACACCTTCTCTCTGAGACCTCTATGGATTTCCCCTGGCTATTAGTACTTTTCTCTTGCACAACTACCTTGAAATAATTTTTGTATGTTCTGAAGGTACTTATACATGTACACGTCTCCCTTGTTAGAATGTGTGCTCCTGGAGAGTACAGACTGTTTCAGTTTGTCTTCACATCCTCAGTATTTAGCATGGTGACTGGCACACAGTAGGTGCTTAATTAATGATTGTTGCTTAATTGACTGATTGCCAAGTTTTATGAGTTCTGTTTGGCAGGTGATTATCAGACAGCTTGTTGTCTGCTCAGTTCAGTCACGTCTGACACGAGATCCCATTTGGGATTTTCTCAGCAAAGACACTGATGTGGTTTGCCATTTCCTTCTCCAGCTCAGTTGACTGATGAATGAGGCAGACAGGGTCAAGTGACTTGCCCAGAGTCACACAGCCGCTAACTGTCTGAGGCTAGATTTGAACTCAAGAAGATGAGTCTCCCTGACTCCAGGCTTGTCACCTACTGCCCTCTCATCAGATAGCTACATTCTCCCCTTTTTTGGCCCTGCTTCTAATACGTGTCTTCCTGATCCCTCCACCACCACCACCACCCCTTTTTTTGGCTGTGAATCTGAGATGGGTAGTATCTGTCCCTTCTACTCATTGTTTTCTGCACTTCGCAGTTATGTGGAGTCAAGATTCTATCCCATTCACATCTGAAGATCTAGGAAGGAAATGGGAAGAGGGAGTGACTGGAAAGGAATGTCTCCATCTAGGATTGTTTCATTTCTATTTCACTTTATCCTATGTACAAGAAACTATTATTCTAGAGATGTTGCAGAGATCAAAATAACAAGATTTGACACCTGCTTGCTTATGTGGGGGGAGGCAGAGTGAGGAGTCAAGGAAGAGACCAATTGCAAATCTGGGCGACAGGAAGGAAGGCTGATGGAGCCTTCTGGCTCCCAGAACATGTTTTCCCTTTGAAAGATGCCAGTTTATTGGAATTTCCACAATAGCTCCTCTCCTCCTTCCTCCTATTGACTTACCTTTCAAACACAGACAATTCCAGTGTTCTCCCCACTGGATGGCATGCATCCCACAACTCCCCATCCACCCCCTTTGAAGAAGAGGAGATTATCTTCACAAAGCCTGACTAGCCAGAAGAATGACTCAAATGAGAGATATCTTGAGGAAGGGGGAGTTTTCTAAACCAAATTATAACTAGGTTAGAGTGATGGAGACTTTTCCCCAGGACACCAAAATTTAGAGGCTGCTGACAATAATATAATCGTTTAGCAAATAGAAACTACTAAGCGTAGCCCCTAATTAGCAAGAATAGTTAGAACAGGAAGCTATCAGATGGTATTTTTCCACTGATCCATCAGTCAGTTATTAAAATTTTATTAAGTGCCTACTACGTGCCAGTACTGTGCTAAGCACCCGGGCTACAAAAAAGGTCAAAGCCAATCCCTGTTCTCAAGGAGTTAACACTAATGGAGGAAACAACATGCAAAGAACTATGTAGAAACAAGCTATAGACAGGGTGAATTGGAAATAACATGGGGACTGGGAAAGGCTTCCTGAAGAAGGCTGGATTTTGGCTGGGATCTGAAGGAAGCCAGGGAAGCCAGGAAGCAGAGATAAGGAGGAAGAGCATTCCAGGCATAGGGGAGAGTCAAGGAAAATGCCCAGGGTCAAGAGATGGAGCATCTTGATCATGGAACAGCAGAAGGCCAGGGTCACTGGCTCCCTGAACAGATTAGAGGGTTTGCGGCATGCTGGAAGTGAGCTACTCCCTTCCCTGGCCCTGCTCTGCTGCCACACCCCCTCAGTCTCCACTAGTGGCCTCCCCAACCTCAAGGTGAACCAAGAGCCTCTGTTTTCTCCTTACAAGATGGTGTTTTGGAATCCTCTTTTATCTTCCCAAGTCCAAAGTCTCCTCTATGTCAACTGTCCCAGCCCTGGCTCAAGAATTGCTAGTGGTGGCCCAATTTTTAGGCATATTTTAAGTGTATAAATTCAATCCCCTGGAAGTGCATATAGGAGCCGGTAAAAGCACCAGCAACAAGAAACCACAGAGACTTTACCCCTGCTCTTTTCTGTTAGATTAAGCCCTCCCTTTGGGCCATGCAAAGCCAAGTGCAGAGTGTGGTCCTGTCCCCCAGAGCCCTAGTTCACCTGTTCTCTCCATTTACCTGCTCTCCCAACTCTCCTATGTTAACCTCTCACCAAAAATGAAAATTCCAACCCCCCAAGTCAGACACGTAGGATCATAGATTTGGAACTGGAAGAGGTCCGGTCCAGACCTGTTATTTTACAGGGGAAACAAAAGCCCAGAAAGGTTGAGTAAGTAGGTGTTGAGTAAGGTGCCACAGCGAACAAATGTCTGAGGCAAGATCTGAACCCAGCTCCTTCTCACTTCCAGTCTTGTGCTCTAGCTACAACACTGCATCACAAGAAAGGAGATGACTAGCTTTGTACAAGGGGACACTCATCCTGGCAGGCCTGTCTATGGCTTTAGGACTGAGAACTGGAGAGATGTCCTCGCTGTAATCCTGGGTATTGAAGAGGAGTCAATAGAGAAATCTATTCTTCCAAAAATCTATTCTTTTGGTGGGAAGACAATCAGGGTTAAGTGACTTGCCCAGAGCCACAT